CCCCCCCCCCCACCCCTCCACAATGATGTAAAGAAAATTATGACTAGTCCGACTCCGGTCACTTTAGAGGAAAGATGGGTCAGGAAAGTACTTTCCAGGGTTACACAGCTAGAAGCAGAGTCAAGCTTCTCCTAAATTCTCCTGCCTCATTAAATGGTCTCATTTGCTTAAACACAAAGGAAAACAGCAAGAAAACGAAAGGATTTCAGCCCAAGATGAAGTCATTTTCCAGCAACTACCTCAATGCCAACTCACTGTTAGAAAGTGTTACCTACTAACATGATTATCAATGTGTATAGTTTTTCTTTTATAAATCAAAGGATTCTCAATTAAAATTCTAATCATTTACAAACAGTAGGCCAAGCATCTCATGGCTGCAATCTTTACCAACAGTAGGAGCAATGCCACAATACTGTTCTAACTAATAAATTTAATTTTTCATTCACCCTAAACAAAACAAATTTGTCCTCGTTTGCTACACTACCATGCAGAGGTTGTGACCTTTTAAACCTTTTGAACAAGTTGTGTCACACAGGTGCAATTCATGTCTTAGGAAAGGCTTTCTAAACATAGGCACATTCCTCTGTCTCAACAACAACAAAAAAAGGATGTGTTAATGAAAGTCAGAAAATGTCCTGGGTCCAAGTCTTTCCCCTTTGTTTTGAAAAAGCAATCTCCAACTGTGAACCAGAGGCTCAGACTTAATTCGGAACTCCAAAGTCCCCACCAGCAGTGGCGTCTTCAGGTTAGATCACTTTAACCCGATTCGTGAGCCCTGAATGTTTGTTTCTTGCCTAATCTGGGTCGGGAGATACTCGGTTATATACTCGGCAGGCTTACAGAGAACTAGTAAGCAGAGTCTACAAGTTTAATGTAACCATAGGATTCAACCTGAGAAAATACAAATTAGGACAAACCATGGATTTTCCAAGTTAGCACAAAGACTGTCAGAGATCTGAATTTCACAGCTGTGCTCCTTGATTAGCCTTTGTAGAAAATGTGGGGTAAAGAGCTGCCCTGGTGGTGGTAAGTCAACACCAGCACTAAATGCTGACCCGGATACGGTGCTGGCAACACCTCACACCCAGAACCCTGGCGCATCCACTCACTCCTTTGAGCTAAGTACAGTGAAGATGTCACTCACCAGCCTCAGGAGCATGAGTGACAGAAACGATTTCATTATAAGCTGGTGTTCAGTTTTAGTGGATAGTACTGTGCCAGCTCCGGAGTCTTAATAGTGGGTACTGTTAAGGCCCCACACATAGATAAAGAACTGAGCCCCCAGTGATCTGCCTAAGAGTCCGTTGTCCAGGGCCAGTAGGTTAATGTAAGCACTGGCCTCAGGACAGGGTGATTTATGATCCCAGTGATCCCAGGCCTCTTTGATCACACACTGCCTCCTAGGGGCAGCAGCACACCAAGCCAATTGCTTTTTTTTGCTTCGTTTTGTTTTTTTGTACAACCCATCTGCAGAGGGGGCAGCCATCCACCCACAGAAAGCAGAGGAAAACATGCCTGCAAGAAAGGCTAAAATCTCAATGGCCTCATGAGTTGATTTGTTAGAACCTGCTCATTAGAGAAAGCCTTATTTTTCCTTTATATTAGAGAAGCTGACCAAAAATCAAGCTTTACAAACAAGTTACACAGCATGGCCTCTACCTGGATCAGGTCGATGGTAAGAGATGCTGTGTCTCCAAGTTTCTTTCCTTTACCTGGTGCCACAAAAACATGAGCCTGAATTTTTCTTATGTTAAGATTACCTCTACTTGCCAGCAGACCTAGACAATCTATTCTTGGGTATAACATGCCTAATGTGGTGCTAGGTGACAGCAGCTGGCTGCTCTGAGCATGGCTCTTTTACTTGGGGATTTAGTTTAGGAGTTCCACTGCCTGCCTCATAAGCATAAGTTCCTGAGTTCAATCCCCAGTACCAAAAAATAAAATTAAAAATTAAAAAAAAAAAAGATAAAACCACGGTCCTGTTAAGTTCCACACATGCCACTCAGGCATTCATGTTACTCTGTGGTGTTGACTGTTACAACACAGATCAAGGGGGTGACCTGGCCATGACGATGCTCTGGTCACGACAGAGGTCTTTCTGATGCCACTCGAGCCTCTTCTACTTGCTCTGCCGAAATACCACCTTGTAGGCCAAGACAGGAGGCCATCGGAGAAGCAGATCAAGTGGAAAAAGTCCATTAACTTCATCTCCTACTGTCTCCTTGTCAGTTAGATGAAGTTAAAGAGCAGACGTCAGATTTACAAATGGGCTGTTATACTGGAAACGGAATTATTCAAAGCTGGGGTTGTGTAAAGTTATTTTTCATCGTACCTTTTTTTTTCTTCCTCAGAACAACTCTTAGATGGACAATCATGGCCCTGCCTTGGGCCCTGCAGTTTGTGTCTTTGCAGTTTAAAATTTTATTTTCAAATTTCAGAAAAGTTGCAATAGGAAAGGGAATTCTCACCTACCCTTTCCCTGGACTCACAGGCCACTCGCATCTGCTCTTCTGTTTTACCATCATCATCTTCCCCACCCCTGTGCCACCAACTGAGGGTACTTTTTTTACATTCTGTCATAATCACAGTTCAACATGTTCTTTTAAAAACATTTAATTAAAAACAAGTTACAGCCGGGCATGGTGATGCACGCCTGTAATCCCAGCACTCGGGAGGCTGAGTCAGGAGGATCGCTGTGAGTTCGACCAGCCTGGGCTACATAGTGAGCTCCAGGTCAGTCTCAACTACATAGTGAGACCCTGTCTCAAAAAACCAAAAACAAGCTATGTGCACAGACAGACGGGGTACAGCTTGGTGTCAGAGTTCCTGCTTAGCGCAAGAGCCCTGGATTTGATCCCAGCACCAACCCTCCTATCCCCAGTGATACCTATGTGCCAGGAGTATCAGAAGCCGGAAACAGAACAAATAGCCAAAATAGTGTGAACTGTCAGCACTCTAGCTTCTCTGCAGCAGGTTTACTGTCTGGGTCTTGAGGCACTATAATAAATGAAATTACCCTGACCATGAATGAATGACAAGGACGCATGAACCAACCCTGCACTAGGTTTGGAAATTAACTAACAGGAGTCTTACCTCTCCGATGCCTCTTTATACTTGTGCATGTAAGCCAATCTCAATAGTGGGGAAAAGAAAACAAAGCCACGTTCAGGAATGGGTTTGCTCAGGCTCCAGAGTTTGGACACTTGGGAAATGTGCAGAGGAAGCAACACCTTTGCCGGCCCCTACATCAGCAGGACAGCGCTGAGGTCTGACACAGAGGACATGGATTTGAATTTAATTCCAGCAGGCTGAGTTCTCTGCAGTCACTGTTCTGATTACTAAATACACCAAGTAGAGAAATGAATGAGTAAAGAAGCAAAGGTCGCCAGGCGTGGTGGTGCATGCCTGTAATCCCAGCACTCGGGAGGCTAAGGCAGGAGGATCGCTATGAGTTAGACCAGCCTGGGCTACATAGTTGAGTTCCAGGTCAGTCTCAACTACATAGTGAGACCCTGTCTCAACCCCCCCCCCCAAAAAAAAAAGCAAAAGGAAAGGTCATAGACAGGATGTGCTACATAAACACAAAGCTGGTAGAGCAGGGCTACTTTTTTTTTTTTTGGTACTAGGGATTGAACTCAAGACCTTGCTCTTGCCAAGGCTGGCATGGTCCCACTGAGCTAAATTCCTGGCTGGGGATATCTTCTTCTTAGAAAGGATTATCATGGGAGTATTCCACGGAAGCCATGCCATAGAAAATGGACTGCTCTGGTGTCCTTTCTTTCCCCCTTTCCTTGTAAAAAGTTAAATAGCTACTTCTCACCATTTAAAAAGAATCACACAAACAGCTTGCAGATGTGACTTCTCAATCATCGTATAATTGTCAAGAGAACATCTGACCCCAGGAGAAGAGGGAGGCAGGGAACGGAGCTAGGGCTCTGAGCATTCAGGGGGCTTCTCCTTGCTCTTTCACAGGTTACTAAACATCTGGGGACCTAGTTCTTTAACTGCCTTCCTTCCTGAGATTGTTTAAAAATACAGACGAGTTTTAAATCAGAAGAGAAATTATATGTATATAAAGAAACAGTTCCTAGTACAGTTACGACTGCAGCTGTTACTCTGCATTGTGACTAGACAGGTTTTCTTGAAGCTGACCAGTGACATTCAGAATGGGAAACAACATGTCATGAATAAATGCAGACCACATGGTGACGCCCAGGTTCCATCTTTTTGAACTCAGAAAGGCCTAAGTCTCCTGAAAGGGAAACAATTTTGCCAAACTACTGGCCACCATTTCTAGCTGCCCACCTCACATGGGCACACACAGTGTGCAGGCAATGTCTGTGCAGGGCTTTCTAGTAGGCTCCACCTGAACAGATGGTAGACGCTTCGTATGTACTTGGTTGTAAAGGGCACCTGTTCCCCTACTTACAGTATGGCCTCATTTATCCAACACAATGATGTAACAGGGGTTCCTTGTGAAATTTACTTTCTAAATGCATTCACTCCATTTATCTTCATATTTAAAAGTCACTAAAAAAAAGCCACTATTGATTGATGGGTTCTAGGCAATATCAAAAAGGCAAATCACATTTATTCTGTTAAAAGCCAGGATGTTAAAAAAAAAAAAAAGGTAGCCACTGTGACAAGAATATTTCTGAATTCCATCATATGTTTCCGTGTTTAATGGTCTCACGTGTGTCTGCTATGTGCAATGTAGCCTTTGGCTGATCACTTGTTTTCATTTTGAGCAAGTGGAAAGAGCCCTGCCTTCAGGATTCAGGAAACAGGAGATGGAATCCAGCACACATGACCTGAGAACCTGGTTCCTCATCTGGAATAGGAGGGGAGTTTAGGACCATAATGTGGTTCCATAATGAGCTGTTGCCCAGAATCGCACATCCCGACTCAAAACTTTACCACGAACAGCAAATTTTCCATAGGCTTTCCTCCCTCCTTGCTTTTGTGTTTTGATTCCCACTATTTGTCTTTCAGGAAGGAGCCTTCCTTTCTGCCCACAACCAGCCACCTCCAAACGATTTTTTAAAAATTTTATTTATTTATTTATTTATGGGGGGGGGTACTGGGGATTGAACTCAGGACCTTGTTCTTGCGAAGCAGGCAGCAGAACCACTGAGCTAAATCCCCAGCCCTAAACTATTTTTTTAAATTTGATGCTTCCAATATTTTTTAAATTAGACAACTAATCTTTGAAAAAAATTATCCAAAAATACATAGAGTGATCCCACTGTGGATGGGGGCTTAAATATTCCTTCTATAAGCACAGGTATCACTAGTGAAATAAGACAGCATTCTGTATGAGAGGGTGCTATTTAAACCAAAAAGCAGCTGTATTATTTTGCTATGCTATTCTGATTATTTGGAGATTACTTTATTTTCCGTTGGGCTGTATGCTGCATCCAGAGTAGCTAAGAACTACTATTGTGGCTGACCTGACAAATACATAACCCAATCTTGACTAGTTTTCCCTAGAGAGCTTATAACTCAGCACAGCATATGAAGACCGGGGGTGGGTGAGAAGAGCACACGGATTCCCTAGGAAACAAGTTCTTCCAAAGTAGCAACAATAGATGGCAACAGTACCTTATTTTCAAGAATTACACCTGTCAAGCAAGAGACTTAGGACTTTACCCCACAGGCAACAGGAAATGACAAAAGGCACATAAATGGGAGATCGCAGAAAATTCTGGACTTTAAAAAGATGAACGTGGTAGGAAAAAGAAAAAGGGCCCAGGAGGGGCCAATTCACCTACTATCTGCAATGAAGCCTAATAAACATGGTGGCCGAGGAAGGGACAGTACTATACAGAACTAACAGGAAAGGAGGAAACTGAGTCACAGAAATAGTTTTGAGGATTAAGAGACTGAAAGATGGCATACCAATACATAAAGATTACAGGGCAACTCAGGAAGAGATTTGAGGGAGTTCAGGAGAATGCAGTCAAGCAGACATGTACTGAGGATATAACTATGTCAATCAGTTCTGGTATGGTTCCTATTATTATTTTCTTGGACCAAATCACCAAACCAAAATCATGTAAATACAAAAGAAAACAGTTTTCAGTGCCTGCCACTGAATAAGACGTCTAAGGTCATGTCTAATTACCAATTCTTGCCCCACTGAAATTCACTCTAGTTCCTACGTGAAGACTCCCATGTAGGATTCCTATGAAAAAGTATTTCTTGTGTGAACATGCTCAGGGGAAGCTAAAATTCCTTTGATCACCGAAACCAGCACAGATGCTGATCTGTGAAGTCAGTGCTGCTGACATCCCTAGGTGTCCCCTGCTGCTAAGTGTGTCCTGTGGGTCACAAACTGTTTAACAACTTCTTTGTTAAAGTGCTTGTTAACAAGGCCTTAGTACATAGAAGGTGAAGATCACAGGTTCTCCATTCACAAACGACTCCAGTTCTGCCAGGGTACACACACAGGTAAATGAAAGCACAGACAAATGGGAGAGTATGGAAACCTGTAACATTTCCCTTCTTTTCAATACACAAACTGTACAACCTTTAAGGATGTACGTATTTCCTTGTTTATGATGTCCTTAACTTAGTGATAAATCCAGAGGCATCAACACGATTGCAAGCAAGATCTGAATCGTGCAGACACTACGCTGCGATTTCTTTAAAGGTTTCACGCACCTAAAGAACTTCCCACGTCTGTCCTCTGAGCGACAAGTCACTGCCGACAGGGCCAATTCAATTTCACCGATGGTGAAAATACTGCCCATGCACAAGTCCTTCATTCCAGGGACCGCTGGCACCAGATCATATGCCTCTGGGATTCCTGTGCTGTATTTTCCAGGGAAATCTCCATCCGACTCGCACATTTTCCCACAGCTGAGCGGGGCTGTCAGAGTCGTGTACCACACAGTTGCCAAAAAGCATCCATTTTTTCCGACAGGAAACGTGGAGCTCTTTCAAAGCATTCTAATTTCACGCACAAATACATTCCACGACAGTAAGACAGGCTGCTTAACAAAAGGAGGAAACGCGATAACAAAGCGGGGCCCCTGCGAGAGGGACGCCCCTGGGGTCGGGTTATCTGGCTGCAAAGCGGTGCAGAGACGGCTCAGGCCCCTCTGCCCGCCCTCGAGACGCAGGTATTTTCTCCAAACCGCGTCCCCGTCAGTCTCTCAGTGATTTTTTTTTTAAACTTTCTATTTTCAACTGCAGCCCAAGGAAACGGCAGCCAGATTTGACTCCAATGTACACACAGACTCGGGTTTCACCCCGTCACCTGTTGGCTCCTGAACAAGACTCCTCTTTGTGAAACGCACAGCGCTCATTTGAAACAAGTTTCCCGAGAAAACGTCTCAATAAAGCGTTTGAGAAGTCACAAGGCTCTGGTTGTAAAAACAAACGCCACACAGACCGGGTTTAGACGGACGCTCGGGAACGTGAACGGCCGCGCCTTTAACCGTGGGGCCGAGGCCGCCCCTCAGGCAGCGGCGAGCGGGCGTCCGCGTCCCCGG